GTGCCCTTCTATGTAAAGCCCCCTTCTATGTAAAGCGATTTGAGTGCACAGAAAAGCGTTCTATAAATTATCATAATTTTTTTATATGAAATAATACAAATATATATTTTGTCATTTCTTTAAAAAGGGTTGCCAACCTGACAAAACTTAATATCAAACATGCAACTTATAAGGCCACTCTATACAGTATAGGCTTGGCAAATAAAAAATATTAAACATACACAATATATTTTAATATCATACTTTACAGTATGAGATTTCAGATGCAACTATTGTCAAGATGAACTGAGCATCAAAATGAGGAAGAAAGGTAATTTAAGTGACTTTGAATATGTCATTGTTATTGATACCAGATAGGCTGGTCGCTGGTGTGAGTATTTCAGAAACTGCAGATCTATTGAGATTTTCATAGATTTTCATGGATCTCGAAGGTTTACAGAAAACGGTCTGAAAAAGAAAAAAATATCCAGTGAGTGCAAATACTTTGTCGATGCCTGAGGTCAAAGAAGAATGACTAGACTGGTTTGAACTAATAGAGAGGCAACAGTCATTCAAATAACCACTCGTTACAACTGAGATCTGTTGGGGAGCATCTGAACCATGAAGCAGAAGGACTACAGCAGCAAAAGACACACCGGCGAGTGCCACTCCTGTCAGCTAAGAACAGGAAACTGAGGGTTCAATACACACCAAAATTGGACAGTAGAAGATTGGAAAAATGTTGCATGGTCTGATGGTTCTCGATTTCTGCCACGACATTCTGGATCAGAATTTGGTGTAAACAACATGAAAGCATGAGAAACCTACCCGAGTATTGTTGCTGACAATGTCCATCCCTTTATAGTGCAACCATCTTCTGATGGCTACTTCCAGCACCACACCAGGCTCAAATCATCTCTAACAGGTTTTTTTGAACATACACTGTAAAAAAATAATGAAACCCATTGCCTTAAAGGTGCAATATGTAACTTTTCTTCTAAAATGAATCTTTTTTTTTTTTATTGCCTGTGTGTGAAGGGGTTGCAATCGCACATTACAGTGATCCACTTGTCGGGTTTTGCTATTACCCTTGAAAGCCAATATTCCGATTTTTATAGGAATATTGGCGTCTCCGGGTCAGATTTTCTGCGCAGTCCATAGGACAACATGGAGTCTGATAATACCCTAAAACAACCTGCCTCTAGCAAAACACACACTCCAACACAAACTCCACATATAAAAAAACAAAACAAAAAGTTTTCTGACTAAGCTCGTCAAGCCAAACGTGAATCGGATCAACTTGCGAAAACACGGATCAACATTGGCAGAGCGTTTGAATTATGGAGAGATCTCCGCTATTTTTATTGTGATAAATTAAGTTTTCAGATATGCTGAAATAATGGTAAACTGAAATAGCAAGTAAACTACAACATATGAGACATGAAATGAATACAAAAGACTGTTCCAGGATAACAAAAAGTAGATGCTTTAGGATATAACTTTTATTTTATGTACTAGATCTAACGCCACTCATCCCATTACTATCATATTGTTTATAATACACATTTCCAGACACGTTCAGTACAGTAATGTTACTTCCTACGATCTTACTGTTACACTGAAATCATTCAGTCTAGTTCACTAACCGTCTTCGTTATCATATTATACATTCTCCAGTTGACATTGCTAATTGTGAAAGATACACGAAGAGTTAGTGAAATGCCTTATGCTTGATAACACCACAAATGGGTCTACTAAAAATGAAGAGTTCAGATGCAAAAGCCTCTAAATGCCATTTTAAATTTTCTTCTTTAATGATGATTTTTATCAAACTTGTATATTTAAGTTCAGTAATTTCACTTAAATAACAATTAATAGGTAATTATCATTGCCATTTAAGTGAAATCCTGAACTTAAATATACAAGCTTGATAAAAATCATCATTCTAGAGGAAAATTTCAAATGGCACTTAGAGGCTTTTGCATCTGAACTCTTCATATATTAAGTAAGTGAACTTAACACTTTTTACAGTGTGACAATGAGTTCACTGTACCTCAAGTGGCCTCCACAGTCTTCAGATCTCAATCTAATAACACAGCACCTTTGGGATATGGTGGAACGAGAGAGATATGATTTAGTTTATTTACTATATTGTTTATGTCATGTCAATGTTTGTTGTTTGCTATTTATTTTTCAGCTAGCAAGCAAGCAAGCTTGCTTTTTTTCCAGCTAGATTTAAATTCAATTTTGAATCTCTGACTTTCAGTGTGGCCTTTTGAACCCTACTGTAGTTGCTCTGTCAATGCTCATGTCTTATATCGCAAGTCATGCTCAAATCATTCACAATTGATTATTCAGTATCAGCAGATGCTGGGGGGTTTGCCAGATAGATTTGATATTGCAGTGTCCAGTACTGAATGTAAGTTATTACTTTAGTGTCTGACATCGGCGACCAACACTCACCATCTCTGACCTTGGAATTTCAGTAGCTTGGAAATGGATCTTGTTTCCATCACTTTCGGCCTGCATGCGTACAGTGCGAGCATCCTTCATTTGCTGTCTAATGTTGACAAGACTATGAGGTGTGGGCCTTTGGCTGTCATGAGACACTATCTGTCACTCAAATGTGCTTTGACTCATTTCCTCTTTCCATAGCTGGTTTTTCCTCTCCGTCTCTGATGACTTCATTAGATTTGGGCATGCTCTCTCAATCAAAACACCATACGGACATGTCAAGACAGAGTGTAGAGCCACTCCTTCCCTGTTTTGTTCTGCTAAAATATATCCATCTCCTGACATAATCTCCGGCTTCTCTCAGGACATGGATCATCTGGGTTCGGTGGGCGATTTGATTTATAACTCTTATTAACCCATTCCTCTCCTGTCCTCCGGTCATTACGCTCGCCTCATCTGTCCGGCACCTACACTCGGTCTGTTTGTGAACTCTCTTCTCCTCCTTGAGCTGCGGGTCTTGCCGGGGCCTCTTTGATTGCGGTGTTTAATGAGAGGCAGCCACCACAGAGAGAGAGAGACAGGAAATCCATAACCCAGAGAACAGTAAACCCTGCCAGCCATTAATCACTGACAGCAGCGCTCCTCCATGGCCTTCACCGCTGACAAAACCCTCCCTTTTTTATCCTCCCTGGGAATGTGCGCCAGTCCTGCATGCAACACATAGCAGACTAGACACACTTGGCCTGTTAAACAGCCCACAACCAGTCAGCGCAACCGACCCATCCAGTGCGCATCCCTAAACCAACCCATCACATGCACAAACACAGCCTTGAGGGGACGTTCCAGCACTGATCCAGCCTTCAACAGTGAATGCGACTGACTCAGGGAATTAAATCAATTCGCTCAACTGTCCCTTAGCATGAGTCTCAAGGTTCTATATGAACACAGCTGATCCAGCGGGCTGCTCTTGAATGCCACTTGTGGCTGACAGTAGTTTAGAACCCTCGCACCAAAAGCCTAAAGACCTAACCAGCCTTTAAAGCGATAAAAGAAAGCTCCTTAGGTAAACATTTTGTTATCACCTTGTATTTCTGTGGTGTTGTGCTGGGTAGCCCCGCCCACTGTGAGATGTCATTAGTCCAAAATCTAGCTCATAGCTGTATTAAACATCAAATATCTTTGGACTGGCTGATTGTTTCACATTGCTCATCAAACAAATATTTGCTAATACTTTGAAATTTATTCAAATAATTTTTTTTTTATTCTACAGAATATCATTAATTTTCATTTTGCATTTACATTGCCTGGGAATCAAACCCACCTTGTCTTTGCTAGCATTATGTTGTCCGTTGTGGATGCATTGCATACGTAATTTTAGTTCTGTTTTACCTATAGTGATGTGAGAATCAAATCTTTTTGAAAATTTTAATCCTTTGAACCAATTGCTTCACAAAATAATTCATAATTTTGAAGTGCTCAAAATGAAAACTCAGTCCAAACAAGCATGAAAAACATAGAAAAGTTGAATCTATTTCATGCAATTGAAAAATATATAAAACATATGTATAATATTTATTAGGTTAAATTGTTCTTGGTTTGTTTTATGGAGAGCTTGTTTATTCAGGCCAATAGGAGACTATTAAAGCCACACTGTGGAATGTTTGGCCACTAGGGGCGCTCGACCTGTAACTTTCACGTCTAGCGTCCCGAGAGGCCACAAGCTCCGCAGCACTGTCGCAATTTAAAGTCAACAAACAGTCAACTGGTCAGCCTCCCGTGTCTTTAGATTGTGTGTGCTTGCAGTGTTTGAGGTGGGCTGGGCAGCCTTGCCGCGCTCGATTCCCTTATAGCAGTCTGCCGAGAGAGAGCGAGTCGGGTGAGACTCGTGGGGCTTATCATGTCTGTGAGTGAATTTGGGCGCGGGACAGCGGGCACATTCACTGCACTGAAAACACCGTCGGCCTGAGCTGACTGTATGTGTGTTGGTTTATTTTTACTGAAACCTTGGGACATGTGGTGTGTTTGTGGGTACACACAAGTTGTAGGCATGTTCACTACATTTAATGTAACGTTATATTTGACATGAGTCGATTTTATTTGGGCGAGCCCTGCACTGAGGTGGGCTGTGTTTGTGTGTAGAAATGAACACTGGGCTGTGTTTATTACATTCATTACACCATCGGCTGTGTCCAGAATACCAGAAAATACTTCACTGCTTATACATATGAATTTATCTGGGTTACCTTAGAAACGGCATTTGTGTTCAGGCAAGCGTCTGCATTGGTCGAACACTCTTCCTCTTTTAGCTCACGCCAGTGCATTTTTTTTTTTTTAATCTTTTGCGCATGAAGATACCTTATCTACTTTGGGGTGCAAAAATAAACTTGTGAATGTTTTGTTGATTTTTTTTTTTTTGTATCCATGAAAAAATAGAAAAATGCAACAAATTTGAAAAATGTAACACAAAAAGTAACTTTTTGAAGACAATAAAAAGGCAGGAAAGAAGTGTGACTGAAAAAAGCTTATGAATTACTGTTCAAGAATAACTTTTTTGCTCTTGTTTACAGAGCCAGCACATGCAGTATGGTTGTGAGGGAGATGGTGTAGTCGACTGGATGCCAGTCTTGGAGGAGCAAGAAACATCTCCCCACTGCAGTCGCCGAGGGATCTCTGCCCAATCTGATTACTGCATTTGTCAACCTGCCACCCTGTTCTGGAAGTAAACAAAGCCAACACCAGATAAGACCCTGCCGACTCCTTCAACGCTGCCCGAGACAATTCCACTCGAATGTAAATGCACCCCCCCCCCTCACACACACACACACACACAAGCTAATGCACACAGGAAGCACATTGGAAAATAGCCAGGATGCTTCCAGTTCTGTTTATCTGATGGACAGAAGACAAAGGTCTACATTACAATCAAGCTCTAATGCATTGCATTACACATGCCACATCCTCAGAAGACTTCTGGTCATGTCCTATAGTGTCTTCCCTGAAAGGCTGGATTTTCTGGATTTTCCTATTATAGGACTTTCCCAGCAATTTATTTCTCATTTTGTTTTATTGCTGGTTCCTAAAGGTGTGATTGTTCCTGACATCATAAGTTCCTGAAGCCTGGACTTGGGTTTATACCAATAACAACCATTAACAGTCTGACATTCCTTATCAGGAACTGACTGTGGTAAAAATAAATAAATAAATAAATAAATGAAAAAAAAAATATGAAAATAATCTCATGTATCAGGATTCAAACCAAAGCCTTTGTCACACTTGCTTAGAAATCCCTTTCATAATGTTAATATCAATTTACATTGTTCATTTAATGCTCATAATTATTGGAAATAGAGATGTTCAGTTAAGTGTAGTTTGTCCTTGAAAAGAATGATAATTTTTAATAAGTAGAGTTTTTACATGTTTTCTTTTTCTGCATACATTATTATTATTACTATTATTATTATATAAATTGCATAAGACCACCTAAGCCAATTTTGATGTACAATAGTTTGAAAATCTATATTCAAGGTATGACTCAATCCTTTTTTTTTTTTTTTTTTTTTTTGGGAACACAACGAAAATGTCTTTTCAAGTAATGTTGACCACATTTTACTCATATCCAAAACCATTACTTTAAAAACCCATTAGAAATTCCTGAGGGAAAAACTATTGCAAATTATCCTTTTGGTTCGGCCTACAAAATGGATATTATAACTGAGGGGCTCTATTGCAATAAAGAATAATTTGCAGTCTGTAAATGACATAATTAGTGCCTCCTCAAAGCTATCATGAAAATGATGTTGTGAACTGTACAAAACCACATGTTTCAGGGTGACAACAGACACAAGACTGAATTGCACCTTATTAGAAATGTATTGTCTTATAACAGAGGATTGAAGATGTAATACTTTATTATTGATTGCATTATTCAATACCTGTGTATTTAGAGTGGATGTGAGCTCATAAATCAAGCTTTTACTCAGCTTTCATTTACAGTACACTGTGGTCCAGGCCATGCCATCAAAGCAGCAATGTTAAAACACATATTCCTCATAAATGATTAACACTATGATTCTGAATGAGGTCCACAAGCTAGTATTAGGACACATTCTTAAAACCATTTTTTTTTTTGAAAGACAACTAGTGAGGATCTAGTGAGGCCCATTGTGAATACGCCTGAAGACTAATTTTATTTGCATTTGATTGTGTTTACAGTAATCAGACTTTCATGAATTCTCTCTCATGTACCTTTAAAAGCCCAAGAGTGAACAGAGCTTGAATCTTTGGAACATGCTGAATATGATGCATCAGATAAGTAGCTATAGTAAACATTTTAGATATAAATATGATGTCAAGATACATGATGGGAAGCTCCATTAAAATGCTGTTTTAACATAATCTTGTATTGAGTAATGACTTTGAATTTACAAAGTCTAAATGAGGAAATAATTACTTTGCTGAAATTAGAAAGAACTCTGGGGGAGTCATAAAATGGAATGAGGATACAAGTCCATCAAAAAAGAATGGAATAAAAAAGATACAGTATAACATGAAAAATTGTTAAAATAATGATGTTTCAGCAAAAAATAAATCCTTGATGTCTTTTTTTTTCGGATTCCAAAGAAGACCAAAACACACTGAAAAAAATATTGTTGGTTCAACTTAAAAATGAAGTAACCTGGCTGCCTTAAAATTTTAAGTTCATTGAAATGGAAAAAATGAGTGAATACAATGAAGGAGATTGATTTAATCATTAGAAACTCAAAATATTATGTTATCTGTACCAAATAAATAATTTAAGTTGACTTGACGAAAGAAAAAATGTTGTGATTACAAATCAGGAAAATATTTTTTTATAGTGATTCATTCTAGCCCTTTTTTAGAGGAGAAAGGTACTCCATATTAGATTTTATTCTTATCTCAAACAACATACGTGCTGATGAAGACGCATAAACATAAAGCAAAGCTTTCCCCTCCATGCATGTCATCTCACGCCTCACTGTAAGTGCCTGAGGAACTCACACCTCATGTATTAAAACACCTCCAGTTTCACACGTGTAGCAATTGGGCCTGTTACCAATGCCATGTTTTGACGTGGAGGGACGAGTCATTGAACCATGCAACTGTTGAGTACAAAGCTGGAGGTTCCCAAGGGAGCTTTGTCCCACTTTTCTTGTCAAAAGATAACTGAGCAGAAGAGGGAACATCGAACATATTAGTTTTTGGAGCATCCTCCCTGAACAATCCTATACCCACAAGATGGTGCCCAAACTTCTATTAACAGATACATTTGAATATGAAGAGTTCAGATGCAAAAGCCTCTAAATGCCATTTGAAATTTTCTTCTTTAATGATGATTTTTATCAAACATGTATATTTAAGTTCAGTCATTTCACTTAAATAACAATTCATTGCCATTTAAGTGAAATTACTGAACTTAAATATACAAGTTTGATAAAAATCATCATTAAAGAAGAAAATTTCAAATGGCATTTAGAGGCTTTTGCATCTGAATTCTTCATATATCCACTTGCTCCCTGCTTATATTAGGTATCTTAAACGGCTATGTACTGTACATGTATTAAAATTGCAGTGTTTGGCTATATAGAGTGAGGCATTTTTTTACATTTATTTTAGATGGTAAAACAATGGGGGAAAGAGGGGGTTGGTGGATGGCTACATATAGCAAACCGCATGGGAGGTCTGCATGCAATATTAATAGACCATTTTTTATTTGGAGTTATTCGGTGACCCTACCAATGATGCTAACCTTAACCTTATAGCAACAAATATGAATGATAGATGTGCAGAACAACGTGTTCACAATGAGTGTATTAAATCAAATACTGTCGGTAAAATAATATTTCAGGTTTAATGGAAAAGCTTGTGTATTATTTGAAATGTAATGATGTATATAATTATTTTTACAGTTGTTTTATGATTTTAGTGTTTATGGTGTTTAGTAGCTTTGTATTGTCATGTCACTGTCATTTTCACTGGGAAATCATGTTGACATGCATATTATTTTAAACGTCTTATTTAGAGATTGGCCCTATTCACTTCCATCTTAAATGCATCACTGTCACCCAGATTTCTGTTTTTATTTTATTTTAAAATTTTAATTTTGTTTTGTTGTATTTTGCAGTTTTGTTGAAAAGGAGAGACTTTGTGGGGTAATAATGCCACAAATGCTGTTGGATGAGCTTAAAGGTGTGCCTAATGATAATGTGTGCATTCTTACTTATTTACACCGTTAAAGAGTTGGACACTCATGATAAACATCTAAACATATTGCCTGGTTGACACCACAACTTCTCAGTTGTAAATGAGTGGGTCTGGGGAAGGTTCATTCACAGCCCATTTCCAAAGGTTTGTCACCAACGAACGTCACTCAAATGCCTCTGGGCGCAATTGGATAGACCTAAAACCGATCAGAGCTAACGTCGTTGTGTAAAGCCCGCCTCAACGTTTGTGATTGGTGCCTTGATTTGGAAAAATTGGAAATGGACTTGGGCTCTTGGTCAGACTGACTTGCAGAGCAATTCTTACATTTTTAGGAAGCTCATTTGGGTTTTCCCAGGCTAAACATGACCATTTCTGTGCCAAAAACAGTCCTTCCAGGTTTCTATAAGTCTGCGTCCCACTCCACAGTTAGACACACTTTTCCCTAAGCGCTTCCCATTCCCTGATGCCATTTTGGACAAAGGAAGTTTAAATGGACAGAGCCTCCTCCCCTCGATTTTGACCGAGGGAGCGAATCTAGTCCAAAGTACACTTCAAGCTGCTCAATATCCCACAATTCATCTTGATTGTGATGTCACAACAGATCACGCTCAACTATTGTGTATAATTTTGAGAATTAATCGCATAATAGCGTATAATAATATTATACGCTATTATGCGATATAATGTTGAGATTTAGTTTATGCAAAGTTTATATAGCCTACTATTTATTTTTTTCCCCCGTTTTTATAATTCATTTTTTTCTCCAACAGCTCATATACAATTTTATATTTTCTCCAACAACATATGCATAGAAATTGGTGCATGAACAAATTAATTAGTAAAAAATGGATCATAAACATTATTATGCGAAAGTTCCGCCAGTAGTGGGCACTCGTGCAATGTAAGCAATGACACACATCCCAGTCCACGAAACGAAGGGAAGTAAAATAAGCAAGTGAAGAGCATACAAATTTGTAGTGGAACGCAGTCTAAATTTGGAAAAGTTTTTTTCGAGTATGGCCCTTTTAATAAAGTAATAAAGGACGGAACTCCTTTAATGGGCACTACTCCCGGAAGAGCGCGTGGCGTGCACACATCAGCTAGAGCAAGAGCACGCCGATTAACGTGCTTCTTTTGTTCGTTGCTCGAGAAAGGTTTGACAATTTATGTTTAGAGCTCGAAATCATGTCACCAAAGTGTGTTTTTTTGTTGTGAGGGTGAGATAACCGTATTATTCAGCTTTCCAAATAACCCAGTGTTTAGGGAACAGTGGATGCATTTTGTTTTTCCGGGGTAACAATGAGTTGTTTTAGTAACGTTGTTTGTTTGTTCCTGGGTTTCGGTTTCGATTGCTTGTTTTATAAGCAAGGCCAAGTTCGACGCTGTTTTATACCGTTTGAAACTTAATATGGAGCAGTCCCAGGCCAGCTTTAAAGATCCCGGTCATAAGTCGGAACAGCAGGTGGTAAGTAAAACTGCATTAACGTTAAATGTCTGTGTTTTGTTGACAAAAGGCCCGCAAGTGCTATGTAAACAACACGAATTTATAATGAATCAAACGTTTTCCAGGGATATTGCGATGGTGTATTGTGTTTAAATACATTTGTTAAGGTGACCACCATAGGCCTACTGTAATCCACTTGTTTATGGATGTTTATGTAAATTCATTTGTTAAAAGTTAAAACCACATCGTGCTACTTTAGCTCCGCCCACGGCACGACTCCAGGTGCACGACTGTTTTCGGATAAAATCGGTACAGCTGTATCTGTCTTTTTATAATTCTGATAAAAAAATAAAGACACTTCGGAATTTCGGAGATATGAAATGCAATACTACTACTACTCGAGCGGGCCACAACGTAAGGCTTTTTGACTTTCTCAATTTGTGTAAATCTACTTCGGGGTTAGAGTAGGCCTATTTATTTTCTCCCACATTCATTTTCCACATGTATACAGTCTAGTACAATTATGTGGTTTTGTTTTATACTTACAATGCATTTACACTGTATACTTTTTTTCTTGATTTACCCTTAAAGAATGGAAGTGAAATGTGACAACATGCCCCATAGGTGGGGTACATTGTATTATTTGAGGGGCACATTGTAACATCACCATATGACAGTTTAAAATACTATCTAATCTAATCCAAATAATATACAAGTCAAACCAAAATATTTTCTTAATAAAATACAATTATTAACTTTTTCATATAAAATGTCATTTTTAATTATTAAAAATAAATTAATTTTTGAGTTTGACAACAAACACACCGAAACACGCAGCTATACAGCATAGTTCAAAACAAAATAATAATTTATAATTTCTGAACATTGACTCTCAGTCTTTATTGACTTTCTTATGCTTCTCTTGGTTTCTCAAGGGCACATTGTTACAGCATGCTCCAACAGCACAACTTGGGTTTAAACCCTGCTAGTGTCTTTTAGCGAAGCATTAAAGGACTTGCTATATCAACTGTTAAACAACAGATTGGATTAAAATAATATAAGATTTGTTTAAATTTAAATAAA